TTGTTCATTTTTTGTTTGGATGATCTGTCCTGTGCTGTCAGTGGGGTGTTAACGTCTATGCTTTTATGGTGTTGTTATTTATCCATTTGTTTAGATCAAGTAGAGTGTGCTTTATGAATCTGGGTGCACCAAGGTTGGGTGCATATATATTTAGAATTGTTATGTCTTCTTGTTTAACTGTACCCTTCACCATTATGTAATGATCTTCTTTGTCTTTTATTACTTTTGTTGATTTAAAAACTAAGTTATCTGTAATCAGCACTGCCGTGCCAGCTTTCTTTTGGCTTCCGTTGGCTTGAAATATTGTTCTCCATCTCTTTACCTTTAGTCTATATGCATCCTTGCAGGTTAGATGTGTTTCCTGAAGGCAGCAGACACTTGGCTTGTATTTTTTATCCATTCTGCCAGCCTATGTCTCTTGAGCGGGGAGTTCAAGCCATTCACATCTATTGAGATAACTGATAGGTGGGGCAGATTTATATTCATTACGTTGGGTTGAACTTTGTTGCTTTGTTTTCTCTCTCGAGCCATTGTGGTTTCTGGTCTTTTATCTTTATCTTTTGAGTAGATTTACATTCATGAGTGTTTATTGTGCTGATCCGTGGGTAACACTGTTTTGAGTACTTCTTGAAGGGCTGGTCTTGTCTTGGTGAATTCCCTCAGCAAGATTCTAGGCTGCGTATTTTTCTGTTTCAGAAGAGTGAGAATGGGGCCCCAGTCTCTCCTTGGTTGTAAAATTTCAGTAGAGAAGTCTGGTGTTATTTAGATTTTCTTTCCTTTGTATGTTACTTGCTTCTTTCATCTTACAGCTCATAGAAGGGCCTCTTTAGTTAATATTTTGGTCAGTCTGATGACTGCACGTCGTGACATCTTCTGTTTGCATTGAATCTCCCAGGGATCCTCTGAGCTTCTTAAACTTGTATATTGAGATTTTTACCAAGGACTGGGAAATTTTCCTCTATTATATCTTTGAATAACTTATCCAACCTTTGAGTGTTTTCTTCTTCCCCTTGGGGTAACCCTATGACCCTCACATTAGGTTTCTTCACATAATCCCATATTTCTTGTAGGCTTTGCTCTTTTCTCTTGTTTCTCTGCTCTATCTCAGTGACTGATTTATTTGATTGGAAGGTGTTAATCTTCAATATCTGAGATTCTTTCTTCTGTTTGATCTACCATGTTCTTGAGGCTTTCCACTGTGTTTTGTAGTTCCCTGAATTGATTCTTCATTTCCAGTTCAGTTAGACTTTTCTTCATTGTTTCAATTTCTTTCGTGAATTTTTGTTTCCAGGTCCTGGAGTCTTTTTGCATTTTCTTTGTGTTGATTATCCAGTTTTTCTTGCAACTTGTTGAAATTTCTTACGATCCTCACTCAAAATTCTTCTTCTGTCATTTTAGTGGTCTGATTTTGGTTGGTGTCCATTTCTAAGGGGCTGGTATTCCTCTTGGGGTGTGTTTTCCATTTGAGTTTTCATATTTCCAGAGTTCATTCGCTGATTTCTTCCCATCTGGATCAGTTGTTGCTTCTTGCGTTTAGGTTTTCGTTTGGGTAATGACACACCCTGTTTAGTCTCAGAGTCAGTAGGTGGTGTTTGTGGGTGAGATTTGACCACTCCCTGTATGATGAATCAGTAGGTGCCGTGAAAAGGGTGTGCAGAATGTCCTCCCTTTCAGTAGGTGGTGCTTGCTTGGAGGAGCAGGCTACACTATTTTTTTTTTTGTGGCCTGTAACCAGCTCTTGTTCCTCTGGAGAGGCACTCTAGTGCCTCAGGTGGTGTGTGGGGCCCTGGGACTTCCAGGTGTGCATTATTCTCTCCCTTGGTGAGGGCTGGTCTTGGACTGAGTCTGGGTAGAGCTGGGTTGGGTAAACCTGCCCTCAGGCACCACAAATACTGTTAGCAGGGGTCAAAGTTCTGTTTTCTGCTTCCAGGAAAAGCTGTCAGGGAGGGGCTGGAATGGCCCCACTCAGTCATAAAGTCTGCGTGTGGGGGTTGCTTCTTTCCACCCTCCTCGACTCCGTGGCTTCTCCTGGGCCTCTGCCAGTAGGCCAGACCTCATGCCACCGGGCCTCTCCTGGATTTGATGCAGGCCGGGAGGTTCCCTGCACAGGGTTGCCACCTGGGCTGGGCACAAGGCCCGGTCTTGGGAGGAGAGTTGCCCTCATGCTCAAGCACACTGATCTGCCCCTGAAGGCACACACACCTCAGTAGGCTGTTCATGAATATCCCTTCTGTGTCCCGGGCAGTGCGAAACCTGGGTGCAGGGGATCTGGTCCGCAGGTCTGACTTCTGGGCCACGGAATTCAATCCCTGATCCCCACCAGGGAGAGGAGTGCCAGTCCTAATTCACTCATGGGAGCCCAAGCTGGGTCAATGTCTCTCAGCGTCAGGGTCTGCCTTGCGCTCCTGGAGTCACTGGGCCAGCAGCACCTGGGAGGGCTGGCGGGTAGGGAGCTCACTGTCTGAGTACCCCTCAGTCAGCTGAAGGGCCCCAAAAGGAAAGGTCCCATTCCCTGGCGATGCCTCCGGTGTGTGGCTATATTGTCTCTCTCAGCAGCTGTGGTTAGGGTCGGGGAGGGGAAAATGTAGCAATATGGTGCCTGTCGCGCGGCTGGGGTCTGTGCACATGGAAGTGCCCTGAGGGGGTTGGGATCCTAGTGCGTCCACTACAGGCTTACCGCTCACTGGTGGTGGCCTTCTCTGGGCTGGTGTCCACAGGTCTGTCCACCCCGTTGGGGAGCCCCCCAGCAGTCTGGAATGCAAGGGAGGAGAAAGTTAACTGCTTCACCCACCCTTGCTGCTGGTCTCCAGGCTGATCTGGAGGTTTCTGCTTCCAGTTCTCCTCCACAACCTCCTCCCATGGAGTCTCCTGTAGTCTCCGGTACCCCTCCTTCCGACCCTTGTCTGATGTATGCTCGTCTGCTTGCTTCTTTCTTCTAATTTCTTCTAGAAACTGTCTTTTTTGCAGAGACACTCTGGCAGTGTTTCTCATCTGCCATCTTGCTCCGCCCCCCCCCTTCTTAATCTGTGGATTTATGTCTCTTGCCAAATTTGTGGAGTTTTTTTTAGCTATTATTTCTTTGAGAACTTTTTAAGCTCCACATTCTTTCTCTCCAACTCCATTGACAAGAATGTTGGATGTTTTGTTATAGTCCCGTGGGTTCAGTTTTTTTTTTCTTAGTCTGTTTTCTCTTTGCTGTCCACATTGGATAATTCCTATTCTTCTATCTTATAGATCACTGTTTAGCTCATTTCCTGAAATTTTAAAAAAATCTTGGTTATTATATTTTTCGGTTTTCTAATTTCAATTTGGTTCTTCATCTCTTTCATTCCTTTGCTGAGACTTTCTATATTTCTATTTGTTTCATGCACATTCATAATCACTCATTGAAGCTCCTTTATCATGGCTGCTTTAAAATCATTGTCAGACTATTCTAACATCTCTTTCATCTCAGTGTTGGCATCTATTGATTGTCTTTTTTCAATCAATTTGAGATTTTCCTGATTGTTGGTATGATGAGTGATTTTCAATTGAAACCTGGACATTTTCATATCATGTTCTGAAACTCTGTATTTGATTTACACTTTCTGTTTTGTTGGATTTTTTGGTACCACTGTGACAGGGGAAGCAGCGACACCACTTGGTCAATGCAAGATGGAGGGAAAACTCCAGGATCTTTAGTGTCCTCTTTTGTCGACTAACACCTGAGGGGGCTGCTCCTCATCACTGCCAGATGCAGATTGGAGGTCCAGCTCTCCATGTGGTCTCCACTGACTCTGCAGGAAGGGTGGCTTTGTTATTGCTTGGCAGTCCTGAAAGTTTGGACTCTCCACTATTCCTCCACTGGTACCACCTGAGGGGAGAGAGAAAAGGGCCCCTGTTATTGCTGGATGGAGTGGAAGTCCAGGCTTTCAATGTGGTGTCCATTGGCACCATGGTGGGAGGGGGGAGGAGGACTTGTTACTGGCCAGTGGGGATGCAAGTCTAGGCTTCCTACGTGACCTTCTGTGACACCACCTCAGAGGTGTGTTGGACACCTAATTACAATCTATCATGGGTGGAGATTTAGGCTCCCACTTGGCCTTTGCTGTCACGAGTGGGAGTGAGGCCATAGTTATTTTTTTCTTCTGTGGTGTTTGGTGGGAGTAGAGTAGTTATTGCGTAAAACGTTTTTTTTTTTCTTACTAGGCTTCTCCTTTTCTGGTCCTTTGACTAGAAAGAGAGAAAAATTTTGTTGAGGCTTTTTTCGGTCTGTGCCAATTGGTGTTTCTGGATTGCTGTTGGTTTTTTTTTTTTTGTTGTTGTTGTTTAGCTCCAACTCTGGGATATATGGAGGCAAAAAGAAATCCAGGGAACTCACCCTCCTGTCAATTCCTTGGGTTTTGAAGTCTTCAGCCAGACTGCCTTCTTCTCTCTACCTTGCAGTGTCTTCTTATCTTTATTTTATATATAATTTCCAGGGTTTTTAGTTGTACTTAATAAGAGGAGAAGATATGTTTATGTATATCTATTCCATCTTCCTGGAGGCAGAAGTATTGAATACAAATGTTTTAAATAAAAATTTTGTATAAAGCTGAATTTTTTAAAAAATTATTTATATATCTTAAGTGTTTTTATAAAAATAAACCTACTTATAATTTTAGTATTTAAGATTCTTCTAGATGCCAATAAAAATATTAGTATCATGCTTCAGTCCTATATACAAATTTAAGGGCAATGTGATTTGTTTAATATTGCAAAATGTTCCTTGGCTGCTACTTGCATCTGTTGCAACTACTGTGACAATTTGTGAATATTTCTAGAAATTTAGATTAGAACATAGAAAGAAGAAAGAAAACAGACATATGGCACTTATTAGGAAACAGTAATTTGACATGCAAGAAGTGCTGCATTTATGTTGAAAAGAAAGATCTGATAAATCAATTTGTCTTTTCTCTTACACCTAAATGCTTCTGCTGCTTAAACTCTCCCAAAGGTTCAATGCAGGACAAAACACAAACCTTTCATGGCGTATGGATGCAGCTGCCTTGTTTCAAGGACGTGGGCAAGAGATGTGAAGTGGTTCCTTGGGGCCTGAGGAGTACTGGAAACAAGAATGGATGTTTGAGATTGGGGGTTGCTCTGCATCAGAGCTGAGCACCAGACTCCAAGTAACAGAGGTATTCACATGATCACCATACGTGTATGTGAGGTATGATGTGAGAAGGGGAGACCCTCTAACACATGGGTCTGGGGCAGAGACCCTCTTGCCTGGAGCCTAAAGCAAATGTTGTCTTCCACTGGACAAGTTTGGCTAAGACTGTTATGCTATTTGCCGTATTTTAAGGGCCTTTGTTCTCATCTGTTTTCTTGTAATCTAGTGTAAGACTATTAACAATGTAAATGAGGCAAAGCTAAACATTTCCACATTCAATTGAGAATTAATATGCGGTAAACACAGATCAGGAGATGGTGAGAGTTCTTTCTCTATAATTTATGATATGATTTTAATGGCACTGTACCACTGTGTGTCTGTGTAGAGAAACTGCGTGGGCAGACAGAGAGGGATATTTCTCCTCCTGAATTATGGGAGAAAGAGCTGAATTTTTTGTGGTCAATTTTATTTTTTTAACTAGAGTCAAATGCTTAATATGATAATTAAAAATACATCATGTCACTCAGAACAGTAGCAGTTGTGTGTGTTTGGTTAGAAGACAGGAAAATTGCCAGCCCTTATCTTCAATTTTCAGACTTAAATCTCTTTCCCATTTAGTTTTAATTGGCTCTAGGCTTCCATCAGTCCTTAACTTAGGGTTGATTTCTTGCAATTGTTTTATATGAACTAGGTCCTACTCCGTTGCATACAATAAATCTATTTATCTGATTCATTTCTGTATTTATGGTTATTTTAAAATTATAAAACCAGACTCCTTAGAATGTGACATATAAGAGTAAAATCTCCATTTCAGAATTACTTTGTCAATGTCTGAGCAAAAGCATTAGCTGTTAGGCATTAACTTACTGAATTACATTTTAAAAAATCTTTCTCTCTTAAAAAAAAAAGGATACTATATTTTTATTTTCCCTGCTCTTAACTCCTGTTGATTTTTCACAACTTCTCTAGTGGGTGTTTTTGAAAATTTACGTCTTTTCATAATGATTTCTTCTTTCTCTCAAATTGCCCATTAAATATTGACCTGGTTTAAGCCTACTTTACCACCTTAGGCTGTAATATTGATACAGAGCTCAGCGAGGTCCCATTCACTGGCTATATGATAGTGGTAAAGACTTTTTGGGGGTGGAAAGGGGGTTGGAGATGTATGTAAATATCTTATTAAATAATGTTATAAACCCTCTTCTCAGAAACATGCACATAGATGCATGCAGTTCCAGGAGCATCACAGACAGCCTGCGGTTGTGCCTAGCTTCCTTAGGGTTCCCATTACCCTTGGTTGAGGCCCTTGGGTCAGACTACTTAGTGGCAGAGGCATCTGCAGCAATGTGATGTAGCAGTGTCTTGGATCACTCACAGAACACAGTGTGTGATGCTGTTTGGGTGGTGAGGTTGAGGCAGAGAAGTTCATTTTATCAGCCATGAATGTAATTGGAGGCCCAAGGCCTAGAGGACAGTAGGACAGAGGGTGCTACGAATCAGAGAGTGAACTTATACAGTGAAAATGAAAGACTGTTCCTCTGCTTTTTAATGAATTAGAATTAAAGTTATACAGGGGAAATGGAGAAAAAGGATCACCATTTAAAGCAGCTGTCTTTGAAAGCTGATGCTTCTAAAGGAGCCAAAGGATATTGGTTCCATTGCACACCTGCGTGAGCTTGAGATATGCAAAGCAGGGAGAGAACTGCCATGCTCCAAGCCAGAAGCGGGGAGAATTCCTGGGGGAGAGAAGGAGAGAGGAGCCGTGGTGTTGCACATTAAGGCATGGCCAGTGAGAAATCCCTAGAGAATGTTCAAGAAATGGGACATCTAGTATCAGATGTTAGGTTGTTTGCTGTGTAGTGAGAAAATGTAACCCGTTCCTCATGACCTACAAACCATCAATAAAAATTCTGCTAAAGTGCAATGCTTGTAAAAATGATTGCTTTTAGCAGAAAGGATAGGTTTGGGTGAAGAAGGTGCAGAATTATAGAAAGCAGAGAGGGCAGTAAGGGCAGGAAATTGGAGTCAGAGGTGAGAGGAGAATACAGATTCCCTTGAAATTTGCAAGAATCTCAAGGCAGGCGTTAGGTTTTTCCCTAGGACATAAACAGAGGTTTAAGCCAAACAGATGTAGATTTCAAGGAGCATAGTCACCCCCACTGACCTCCGAGTAACATTTGTCTGAAGCATTTACCTTCCAGAGCACCTTTATGCTCATTCCTGTTGTTTGTTCTCCTTCAACTCAGGGTACACGGGCAGCAGAGTCCTTGCAGGGCTGGCGGGTGCTGGCCTTCTCCTGGTCTTCTCAGGTGGCACCTGCTCCAGGAAGGAGTGACTGAGGGAGGACACAAAAGTGCCTTTAGCAAATGCATGGAGGTAAGAGATCAACGCAGCTCTGCCAGTCACATAAAAATGTTGGTGGGGCCTAATAATTTGAAAAGTATTTCAAAGCTTCCTGACAAGATTCCCAGCTCAGTCCTGTCTAGTTCTCAGGTATGACAGGCCTGGGTCCAGAGGTGCCACTCTAGTTTTTTCTGGGAGAGAAGGTCCTGTAAGAATATCCTGACCTGAGCTGACACCCCTATCTCTCCCAGGTCTGTAGCGCCCTGACTTTTGTGGGGCACAGAGCAGGGGCTGGCCAGGCCGTGTGGTGTGGTAGGAGGGAGGTAAGGGAGTGGGCTGTGAGAGCCCTCTTCTTCCTTCAATTGTTCTCTGACAACGTTGGGCCCTGGGACCAATTTGGTGTGCTGATTTGCACCATCTCAGTCAGAAATAGAGTAAGTACCTCCCCTCACTCTTGCTTACTGGCGTGCCTTGTACTCGCTTTGATTCTGCACAGGAATCCCTTCCTGGGGAGATCTTTATTGCTCTTTGAACAGACTGTGGGAGAGGGAGGGTCAGAGGGATGGGGAGGCAGATGTGGAGCCATGAAATGTAGGGTTGGGGGTGCAGGGCCTGAAGTTCAGTTGTCTGGCCAACCCATTTCATTTGGTCACACTGACCGGCATTCTCAGCCTCTTCTACAAGAATATGATATAAAGTGACCTCTGGAGACCTGTGGTGTCTCCCTTCAGAGTGGGAGAGGACACCTGAGCTGTGACAGGTGTAAGACAAGTGACAAGCCGGAGGGAAGTGTGGAGGTGTGGGAGGGGGCCATGGCGTCCCCGCTTGCTGGCTGTGATGACTCAGCGCTGAGGCTCGCACTGGCTGTCATGTGAGTGCCTTTCACCTGCAGTGATCTGTTCAACAAGTATTTACTGCGTGCCGGTAACGTGCCAGGTGTTGAGGATGCAGACATGAAAATGCACCGTCCCTGCTAATAATGGAGCCCACAGCGCTTCCTGTTCTGGTTGGTGCACTGCAAGTTCTAACAATGGCTTACAGGGCCCTGTGTGACTTGGCCCCTGTTCTTCACTCCAGCTGTTTCTACTGACAGCCCCAGGCGCACTGGCCTCTGCTGTCCATAGAACACACCAGGCACACTCCCACCCCAGGGCCTTTGCACTGGCTGTTCCCAGCTGTTGCCTCAACTGTTCTCCTCCCTCACCTCGTTCAGTTTTTACTCCACTGTCTGACCTCCCTATTAAAAGTACAACTGGCCCTCTTCTCAATACTCCTGATCTCCCTCATCGTGTTCTACATTTTCTTTCTAAAGCATGTGTCTCCTCTACCATATTATCCGGTTGGCTAATTACGTTTTACTATTCATTATCTGTCATCGCCTGCTACACTGTAAGCTCCAGGAAAGCAGGAATCGCTGATGCATCCCAAGCACCCAGCGCGGTGCCTGTCGGATGAGCTAATAGACTACAGTGAGAGCTTTGGAAAGTCGTCCTGACCCGCCCCGTTTCTACGTCAGGTCTTTTCAGGGTTTTGCTTGAGCTGACCTCCCCTGTCACTCTCTGGAGCCTCACCCTTGGTATTGTATCCGGGGGATTTGTCAGGTCCTCCAAGCGCTGGTCCACGTGGAGACCGTCCTTCCTGTGGAGCCTGCAGGAAGAGCAATGCGGCCACGTCAGAGAGGGGCACACGCTGTTATTCTCGTAAATGTTCTCAGGAACTTCATTATTAATATCAAGCTTTGAGATTACTCAGCACAGGAAGTTCTTGAAAGAAGGCTTTGCCTTTTGTTTGGAGATCAGTTCTAGTCTTCCGAATGTGATCTAAAGTTCACGCTTCCCTCTGGTTCTACTTCTCCTTCAGGAGGCTTTTCAGCCACACACACTCCCACCTTCTGCCTGCGCAGCGTAACATGGAACGTACGCTCCATGAAACCCGCAACTCATCTGTCTGTGATAGCTCCAGGGCCTGGAAGATTCTCACCTACAATGCAGTAGGTGCCCAGTAAATATTTGCTGACTGAATGGACAGCTCAGACCACATCAACAGGGCCTGTTTTTCCATGTTTTCTGATTTTTGAAGAAAAGCCAGAAATTAATATTTTATGTATCATCTCCCAATACAATGTGGCACTTTATTTAAAAATTTTAAGATACTGTGTTAGTCAAATAATTCATGTCTGCAGGGTTATTTTTCCTGACAGCTTCCAGGTTGGGGTCACTGCCCTCAACTCACTGCAGACACTATGCTAAGTATCCTCAGGGGGGACAGGGAGAGGCTAGGACGTTTGAGGGGAGAGATGAAGGGAGGACTTTTTCTCAGTAGTCAGAGCCCCTCAAAGAGTGGAGACCCCTGCTCCTCTTCCTGAGGATGTCTCTGGGCAAGGGGTGAGATTTCAGAAGCAGGTGGGATCCCAGGCGCCATGCTCACAGTGTGAGAGTTGCAGAGAGGTTAGACCCCCAGGGTTCTCCCCCCAGGGTTGGACCCCCAGGCATGATGCCCAGTCACAGGCAGGAGGGGCCTTGCCAAACTCTTGGGCAGCACGAGCATCCAGGGCCCTTTCAGAGCCCTAAGGGCTGGGGGCTGTGTCGTGACCGGATTGGATTCCCCACCAGGCCAGAGGGCAGGGGGCAGACAGTCAGATTAAGGTAAAGTATGACTTTTCTACAACCAAGCTTGTGGACTAATATTCATTTCTATTATTAATACTTGACATTTTGTTTCTGTCAAAGTGAGAAGGACAGCCGGGAAGGGTGTTGGGAGAAAGCGTAACACCAGACCGAGCACTAACACAGGCTCCTAGTCTTGGTCCCCTTGAACTCTCTTGGGCACCTTCCAGCTCACCCTTGGACAGTGTCCTTGTAGATGTGTCTCCTGGTTTGAACTCGCCAGCCCAGAGTGAGGGCCCGCTCGCTCCAGAGCCTGTCCGTTAGGCATTTGCAGTCGCGCCATTCGCTGCGTGTGTCCAGCAGCAGGGGCGAGGTTAAGGCACCCGGGCCTCTCACGGCCCAGATGAGGGAGACCCTGTGCCAATTCATAGCATCCCTCGGCCGTGTCCTCAGCAATGCTGGCTGTGAAGGAGACTTGCTAGGCTCTGCTGGCTCTGTCCTTTGTGGGAGAGAACAAAACCTTTCTCAATCCTTTTCAAGTCCCAAGCACCCTGATCCTCCCGGTCCTCTTCCCTCCTCCTCTCCCTAGAGAACGACCCAGAGAGAAGGAAACCAGCTGGCTCAAGCTGGCAGACAGGATGAGATTTTTGTGCAGAGAATTTTCCACCAAATGGGGGCCAGAAGCTAGAGGGACATTGCTGCTGCCATGTGGGAAGCAGAGTTCCTTTCTGGGGAGAGTCCCGAGGGCAGTGCAAGGAGCACGCCCCTCTCCCTGCTCCCCCACCCCCACAGAGACTGGAGCGCCTGTGGGCAAGGCTGCAGGTCTTCCCGTGAGGGGACCGCTCTTCTCTCGAATGTTCTCCTTCTTTCCAGAGGAGCGTGCACAAGTGCGGGGGAAAACCCAAAAGCTCTCAGCTTTCTCTGAGAACTGGCAGACTATAAAATACAATGTCTGCTTGAGCAACAGAGGAAAAATAATATCCCCAGGCTGAGTTTTGCTTGTGCCTTCTCCACATCTCTCACCCCACCACCTCTTCTTGAACAAGTAAAGGAAGGGGAGAGAGACAAAGAGAGAGAGAGAGACAGAGAGAGAGAGAGAGACAGAGAGAGAGAGAGAGAGAGAGAGAGAGAGAGAGAGAGAGAGAGACAGAGAGACAGAGAGAAGAGAAGGTCAGGTTTGGAAGTTGGTTGTCTGGGAAACGGGTGTGACATTGGAAGAGCCATCTTTTCCGAGGGCACCAGTGTAACCGCCTTAGGGGGACGTGAGTCCTGGCCATGTCAATCACTATTTTTGATGCAAGTGTACTGTGTTCACCACTGGAATTCAGACATGTCTGGGCTTCCCTGGAAAATTGGTCCAGTGAACTAGGTAAGGACTCAGGAACCTACTAGAAGCCTTCTCATCCTCCGGAAGCAAGCACCACAATCCTAGCCACATGACAGGGCCTTAGACTTCTGAGGGGAGGAGTGATGGGATGAGCCAGTGTCTGTCAGGCAGAGCTGTCCCAGCGCTGGCCTCGCCCTAAGGAGAGAGAGGACTAGCTGCAAGGGATTCCTGTGCCCCGCACATGACACCAGGCAGGGGCGCCTCTGCCTCGGGAGTCCTGAGTTGCAACGCCCGAGGGGAGGAGGCGCTCTCCTCCACGGCTCGCCTTAGATGACTCGCGCCGGCGGGTGCCGGAGGATGTCCTGGGACTTGCTCTGTGGGAGCGACATGGTGGCTGCTCCAACGCTGAGCGAGCGCGTGTGAGACGGCCCCTGAGGACACCCAGAAGTGCTGGTGGAGCCGGGCAGGGTGGGCGTCCGGCATCCACGTCAGCAGCATTCCGACACCCGCTGCGTCGCCGCCACCTCCCGTCTGCACGCTTTACGAAATCGTGCGCATGCGTGTCCTTGTGCTCCTCACAGCCTCCCGTGAGGTGCAGCCAAGCATAGCAACCCTCCCGCGTACAGCCGGGGGAGGGCTCGGCGCCCTCGAGACCGCCTCAGCTCCACAGGTCCCTAGCAGTTGCCGGCCCTCTGCGGGCCGCGCCTTAGCTTGGTAGGAACATTCCAGAAGCTGTGCAGTCGCGGCACAGGCACTGCCTGGGCTTCTTCCCTGCCAGGGTTCTCCACGGGAAACAAAACAGCAAAGGCCTTGGGGAGAATGTTACCTTCGTTACTGCCAGAGGCTTGGCGGGGAGACGCCCGATGGCGCGCAGCACACGGCCGCTACCGAGCAGAGCTGGGCGGCTGGCCCGCACAGCAGGGCGTTCTTCCAGTAAGACTGAGCACAGAAAGGCAGGAGGGAACTAGAGGGAGCAGGGCGGGCGGGCGACTCTGGGTCCTCCATCTAACTCACCAGCCCAGTGAGTGAGGGGCGGGAGGGTCAGGGGATTGCACCAGGGCACGCCCCTCCGCGTGCTCGAACTTCCGAGTTTGGAGAGCGCGTTCCTGTACCGACAGCCGTGCTGTCCCCGCGCAGCGCCTGCTGGGCCGCGCCTCCACACTGGCAGGAGTCGCTCAGTTTACTGGCCTGTTGGAGGTTCCTTGCTGTGTCAGCCAGCGTTTTCCAGGGAAATAGAACCAATGGAGTGTATAGGAGGTGTGTGTGTGTGTGTGTGTATGTGTGTGTGTGTATGTGTGTGTGCGCACAGAGAGAGAGAGGAAGAGAGAGAGAGATAGGGAGGGAGAGAGACATCAATGTAAGTAAATTCACTGATCAGAATTAAATTATGAAGATTTATATTAGGTTATCAATCCTTAGATCAATTAGTACCTCACAGTCATCTGGCATATGGGGACCATTGCTTGAATCATGATGTTTCCTAAATATATTTTTGTATTGAAAACAAGATAAGGACGACTTCTTGATTCAACCAGTAGCAAGCATCTTCTGTGTGCAATGTCCTGTTTTGTGGGTACATGAAGGAGAATGGCATGTGACATTTTTTTTTTCTGGGAGCTAAAATTAAGTTAAGGATGGCAAAGCATAACATAATGAATGCATTTAAGAAGATATAAGCAAAGTGCTGTGTGGTCTAAGATAGGACAAATTCTGAGTTGGAGTCTGAAGAAGGCTCTATGGAAAAGGAGACATTTAAACTGTACTTTGGACAGTAAATAGAATTTTGACAAACTTAGTTTAAAGAAAAGGATATTCCAGGCTGTGCTGTGTTTGAGAAGTGTTGATAAATCTGTCCATGTTAGAGTATTTCGTGTGTGTCTGTGTGTGTGTGTTTGTGAGAGGATGGGGTTGCTTGGGGCTAGGATGTAGGAAGGAAAAATCTAAAGAGAGCTGCATTGGGAAAGACAGTTTCTGGTTACATCAAGAAAGGCATTGAACGCTGTGCTAAGAGTTAAGATTCCCTCTGAGGGTAATGGAGGGCTGCTGACTGTTTTTAAGGAGAAGAGAAGCAAATGCAAACACACACACACACACACACATCCTACGTGTTGGTTCTGCTTCCCTGGAGAGTCCTGACCAACACAGCGATGAGGGCTGCCTTCCAGCAGTGCACGAAGAGTGGATTGCAAGGTGGTCAGCGGCCAGTGCCAGAGTCCTGGTGAGAGCAGGCTGAGTGCCGGCCACTGCAAAGGTGATGGAAACGGGGCAAGGGCGCTCATTGGAGAGAAGTTTTGAAGGCAGGACCTAGTAGCAGACAGAAGAAGAAATTGGTGTGGGAGAAAGTCGGTCATGTGTTTATCGGCTTGTTTCTATTTTAACACTTAGCAGGTGCCACCTTGTATCAGAGACGCTCCTGTGTCTCCTGGGTCGCCTCTGGACTGGGGGCTCGTGGAAGGCAGGGCTGGGGCTTTCATCTTCATGTGCCCCTCAGCCTTCCATGCAGAGCTCTGACCACGTGGGTGCAGGGTACGAATGTTGTGACAGTGAAGCGTCCCAGGAGGACAGGCTGGGGAATGCAAATCACACAAGGGCAGGGCTGTGTGCTGCTGCGTGGGTGTGCCACCTGGCACCTGGACTGAAACTCTGTTGTGAAGTACAGAGGTGGGGCTGGAGGGGCTGTGTGGGAAATGTCACCTGATACCCTCGAGTGGTCACCTCGCTGGTGCCCCCTGGACTGTGGAGGAGCCCTGATCGGTAGCAGGAGGCCAGGGGGACCTGCCACTCATCCTGCTCTGAGCTGGAGGCTCATTTCTGCTCAGAAGACGGGCCAGCCAGGATTTCCTCGGGGGAAGCACAGGTTCTGGCCACTCCCTGGCCTTGGCCTCACCACCTGTGGCCATCACAGGAGTCACAGCAGCATGTGGAAGTCGTCATTAGTGACAAGGCCTTGGGGTCGCCCACAGGGGTGTTTTTGTCTGGCAGGGTGAGGACTATGAGCGAAATGTTCTCTTCTTTTATATTGAATTTACTCTTTTTTTTAGAAAAAGTAATGCATGTAGAAAATTTGGAGAGTATTTGAAAACACCATTAGAAAGATAAATAAAAATACTCATTGCCCTACTAGTAAAGAGAGCTGGTGTCAGATTTTCATGACTGTAAGGCAGTCTGTGTAAAGTGCACACGTTACTTACCATGTGTATGCTCTGCCAGATCCCATGCCGCGTACACGGCCACGGCCACATAGGTGGTGCTTTTCATTTCCTCAGTCACTCCCTAGGTGTGCACTGTCGGCACTGGCAGGAAGTCCGGGATCTCACCAGAGGCTCTTTCCTCTTCCTTTGTCCCGAACACCGGGGCCCCCTCACCGGGGCCAGACCTTGGGCATAGACACAGCAGGTGACAAGGCAGAGTCGGGTCATTCCAATAACGCTGGCTTTCCTCATTGCCACCTGGTATGAAAACTGCTGAAAACTATTCACTGGTCCCTCAATGTCACTACCACTGAGGGACGCACACTTGGGCTCCACGGTTGCAGGTGTCTAAGTCACACGCTCACTGTCGAGCACTGTTCCCAGAGCACTACCACGCTCCTGCTGGCTGCCCTGTGGGGCTCTCCCATCTCGACCAAACACTAGCCCAGAGCTGGCCCAAACCCACAAGCCTCGGGCTTCCATAATGAGGCCCTTCTTGTTGCTGGGGCCTTTGGAATCTTCTTCTGCCAACAAATACGGTCAACCCGCTACTATTTATTTCCCTGATTTGAAACCTTGGGGAAAAAGGTATAAAAGTCTAGTCCCTCCCAGAAGATCCTGAATCCCTTTTGCAGACTGGCCCTTCTCTTCCCTAGAAACCAGCTCTGCATATCAAGGAGTATTTGTCAGGATACAAAAAGTTTGATGACATGGTTTTCCAAGGAACATGCCACAAAACCGGGATCTCCTCCAAGATGGCAACGAGGACAGACACGATAGATCGTGTTTGTTCCTGTCAGCTGCATGACTGACTGGCGAGTTACCTGGTTGTCCACCAAGGCAGAGAAGCAGGAGGCAGCTTTGGCACCTCCCTACTTGGGCCTCCCCTGTGCAGCCCACCAGCCTGCCCGCCCGAGCCTGTCCCGGCGACGGGCCTACCTGTGCTTGGCGGCAAGCTGGGGGCCCAAGCCAGCGTCGCCTCCCCAGGCGCTGGGGAAGTGCCCTGCCCAGCTCTTCTGGTCATCAGTTTACAAATGGAAAGGCTTCCAAATTTCAGAGCTGAGGACTCACTCTGAATACTAACTACACGTGTGTGACTGAGGTGCTCTGCATTCAGAGTATATCCTGCGTCTTACCACTTCTCACCACGCAGGTCAGGCCACTGTTGTCACTCACCTGGACGACCGCAATAACCTTGACCCGGTTTCTCTGCTTCCTCACTCCCCCTCCTGTCTGTTCTTCCCTCGGCAGCCACGGCGAATGCTCAAAGCCCTCCAGAGCCTCCAGCACACACCAGGACAACGTCCGCATGCCAGTGTGCCATGAAGGCCCTCCGGCACGCCGCCCCGTGCCGCTCTCCAGTCTCGCCCCCTCGTCACGTCAGCCACCCGCCCTTCTCGCTCTTCCTAGGATGGCCCGAGCCTGTTTCTTCCTCAAGGACTTCACGCCTGCTTCTCCCTTTTGCTGGAGTGTTCCTCCTCCATTTTGCCACGTAGTTCACTTCCCTGATTCGTTCAAGTCTGCTCAAAAGTCACTTTTCAGAGAGGACTAGAAAAATATACACTGCTTCCTGACCCCCCTCCCCCATCCCTGGATCACACTGGAGTTTTCTTTGTAATTCTTATTGATACTATTACTCCCCCAAATTTTATACTCTATTTATTTGTTTCCTTATGTTTGTCTGTCTTCCTAGCGTTAGAGTTGAAGTTCCTGGAGAAAGGGCCATGTCTGCCCTTTCCGCGGTGGAATCCACCGGGCCTGCAACAGTGCCTGGCAGGCAGTAAACGCTAATCACTGTGTTTTACATGAATGAACGAATGTATGAGGCTGTTCTCACATTTACGGAGATGGAACACAAGTAAAACGGCTTTGTTTACTGATTTTTGCTGTGGAGTCAGCAGCCTCTCTGTTACAGGCTATTTCTTGGTGACCTTCTGAAGTCCTTAGCAGTGTCTAAGTAGAGGACAGGGAGCATAGGTTCACACGTGTGCACACACGTGCACACACACGCTGTAGCAATGAAATGAGTAGACAGAGTGTAATTAGATTTTCTTTCTTGCGATTCAAAAACCACGGTTTGCGGCAGTTCTCAGCCAGAATCTGCTCTACCTCTGGGTGTTCCTTCTGCCCTATGAGGGCTGTGTCACTTGTGGCCACTTGTTAGGCAGGTTCTTCGGGAAAGTTTGTGTGTGAGGAGGCAAACTTTCCGAATGACCCGTCTCCCCTAGGGGAGTCTCCTGAAGGCCTCCGACCTTTTGGGTTTTGAAACAGGCATAGTTAGCAATTTGGATAGAGTTTGGCCAGATATTTCTGTGTCATGTGACACTGGCTGGAGTCATTCACTCACCTGCATGCAGCTGGTGGATAAATTGGAATGGAAGATCCAAGAAGGCATCTCTCACACGTCTGATTCCCGCCGCTCTGCGAAAGGCTTTCTTCTCCTCACGCGGGTGACGGCTGCATCGCGCACGGCGGGCTCGGGCACTTGGAGTGCTTATGCGGCAGCTGGGTTCTAAGAGGAAGCAGCAAGCCAAGCCCTGAGTTCTGATCTTGGCTTTATGGCTTATTAGCTTTGTGACACTGGGCAAATTATTTCAATCCTCTAAACTTAAACTTCCTGATCGGTAACATGAGGATAATAACACGTATCCTAGAATGCTGTCGAGCCGTGTCTGCATGAGGAGAGTGGGGTCCCAGAGGAATCGCTTTCCGACTCCCTTGCTTCCCACTCACAAGAACTAGCAACAGGAGAGGGATCTCTGGCTGCAAACGTGATCCCGGCACGTGCGAGAACAATTGCCATTTCATAGCTTCCTATCGTTCAGCCCAGAGTAGAAACTCACACTAAAGGTGCTCTGGGGTGCTGAAGGCAAAGCCCACGAGGCGAGGCAGAGGGGACGTGGAAGTGCCCCGAATGACAAAGGAACAGAACATGTCTGTTTTCCAGCCCTGGAGCTCAGAGGAAAGAGAGAAAGAGAAAGCTGGGAGTGGGAGGCTGAGATTCCAGTACATGGCGGTTAGGCTTAAATTCTAGGAGAGTTGGGAGATTGTGATATGAACCTTCAGTCTGTTCCTTTTCTGTGACTGCGTCCATTGTCACCAAGGCTTCAGAGAAAGCTTGTGCTGGTGCCAGGGAGAGGCCTCTGGAGAAGCCGCGTGTTTGCCTTCGCTGGAAGAGGAGCCGGGCAGCATGGCGGGAGGAAGATGAGAGGAGGTAAGAAATGGGCTAACGGGAGGAATCTGAGGAACATTCGAGCCCACCTTAGACACTTTGGAAGAGACTAGCCTCCTCTGATTTTGTGTGAGATAGGGGCTCAGACTGTTTTACTGAGGGAGGCTGACCACAGGAGGCTGGTAGAGCTGGTGATATTCCAGTTACGCACAAAAAGGGCTTGACTGACCTATTGCTGACTTAGCTCAAATGGTGACTTCTGCTGTTACTATCCAGAGTTCAAGTGACTTGCCCATGGAAAGAAAACGTGGCGTGGCAGCTGGCATTCAGAACCAGGCTTGTGTGAGTCTTAATGTCTTCACTGTTTCCACTCCACCACATTTCAGTTAAGTACTACGTACCTGCTGCAAGTTGTTATTTAGAGTATTAAAGCCAAAAAAAAAAAAAAAAAAAAATCTGGTGGCGGCTTGCAGCCAAGTTAAATGGTGATGGCCCCTAGGTCACCCAAGGCAGGGCAGGGGCATTTTGAAGGCTGGCTGGGGATTGCCCACATACCCTTTCTCTTGATTATTTTGGGGTCAAGTCTCTAGGGATTAGCAGCTCCTAAAGTCCTTCCCGTTCCAGCGCTTATAAAATCTTGTTTATATGCTAATTGTACTCCACCCTCGGCTGGGGTTCTGTCATCTGTCAAGTAAATAGTGACCATAATGAGAAAAGAAACCAGAAATGCAAATGGGGGAAGATGAAGAGCGTGAGAGAGCTGGAGCCAGCTTAGTGGAAACATCAATTCCTGCTCAGAGCCACATTGTCTCATTTCTAAACTCACACCTTTATTTTTTATTTACTCTGGCATAAGAAGCTTTCCCTTGCATTAGCAATGATGCTGTTAATGTTTTATAGGGTGCAGAAGTCATGGTCACATTGAAATCCTCCCCGTACATGGAAACTCTTACCCTTACTGAAAACACATGCTGAGTTTGAGTCGGGCAGTCATCTACCCTGCCAAGGACCTGAGAATTCTTTGGGCATGTTGGACCTCTGGTCTCCCTTTAATTGCTAACACACCTTCCTCTACATCACCAAAGAGGTTTTAGAAGGCTCCTCATCCCCTTTTTCTTAACTGAAACCTGGATCTCCTTGAAGTCTCAACTTCCTTTGTAGCTTCCACCAATAGAAGCTGCTCATTCTCCTACATTCCTCGCAGCACCCTGGCAGGGGAAAGCTGCTGTCCTGACTCCCGCCTCCACCTCCAGATTGACACGCCTCAACCTTCAGGTAGAAAGTCTTTTTCCTTCTAAATCATGCCACCCAATGATACTGTGTTCTCTTCCTCCTGGTCACAGACATCTGCCTCTGTCCTGGTTAGTTTCCTTCCTTCACTGATGATTTTGAGATGCCTGTGAGACAATGAATCCAACAAACCAGTCTCCAAATTCCTGAACATCATTGACTCCAATGCCCTTCATTTCTCTCCTTGTCAACCCACCTCTGGGCAGCACTCCTGGATCCTACCCTCTGATCACAATGTCCTGTCCTCACAATATTTCTCCCAATACACTTTGACCTCATATGTTCTTCCTGTCCCTTGATCACTCCATTTTATCACATTTTATTAGCACCTTTCTGACTCTGTTTTTTTCTGTACACAATCTAGATCCCTTGCGCTATACAGAGATCTGAGCCACTATTGTAGGAGCATCTTTGATTCGTTTCTATCTCCTATGCTTCCATCATACCACCTGATAAGACCTAACTTTGAAGAATCTTTTACTCTCTATCGCCCTTGTTTATGCACTTGAGGAGGGGAATATACTGGAAAAATAATTATAGAGTCATACAGGTTGGCATGTTGAAAAGTTTGTGGTCTCCCATCTCAGCTAGTCCCATACTTTTACCTCTCAGTCTTTTGTCTTTAGTCAATGCTTTCTCTCATTTCCTTCAATGGCTTTAAAATCATACCTATTTATTCAATGCTCCAATAATTTTCAAATCTTAGCTATTAATTCAATCCTTATTCCTTCACTCTCAGCAGACAATCAAGAAAATTAAGAAATGAAGCATAATTTCTACCCCTGGATGTAAAATTTTCCATGCTTACCCCAACTGTGACCGACACTTTTGTTGTCTGCTTACCGTACCCATCCATTGGTTGCAGCTGCACCCACCCATTCCTTGATAACAGAACCCTGATGTGCTTTAGGTATCTGGTAGCCATGTTCTTCAGGGAGATCAGGCTGTTGCTAAGCCCCAGTGGATGGGTGATAATTATTCCAGCCCAATTATGACTACTTCATTTCCATTGTCTGCACTTGGCTTAGCCATGTGAAGAAATTCTGGTTGTTGAATGAAAGTCAGTTGAGGAACTCTGGGAAAGTGTTTTTCCCTCACAGAATGGAGCCCAAAGAAGAGCTCTTTATCCCTGGAGCTTTTGCCTGTGTTGGGAGTAGCTGATGTGTTGAAGGTGCCAGTGCAAACGTGGAGAGAACCTGGGTCTTTGATGACATTGTGAAGCCACTGAATTAGCCAACCCTACCTGTAACCACCATCCAACTCTTTGGCTTTTTGATATATAAAATAATAAAGTTTTCTTATTTAAGCTTCTTTTGGTTGAATTTTCTGTTGCTTGCAAGCAAAAGCATTCTAAATGTTACACCAATCTTTTCTTCTAGTCCTTGAAGGAACTCTCCTCTTTTAAAGGTCAATCCTTTTCCCTGTGCCCTTCATCCTGTGGCTCTCTGCCTCGTCTGGAACTTTGCTACATCTTTCATCCCCCCTCCATCCTGTATCCTTGCTGCTCCTTCTCTAAGTCTGTCAACTTACTGAAGTTGCTTCCAATGTCAAAAGCTTCCCTTGAATCTGTATCTTTTTCTGGTTCTCAACAAACCCTTCTTTTCTCTTCTTACAAACATTTTTAGAGTGGGCTATACTTTCTATCTCTACTTCTTCACTTCCCATTTCTTTTTGAGTCACTCAATTTGGCTTCTGTCTCCACCATTCCAGTAAAATGGTCAAGTTAAAGTTACCAATGATTTCTTAACCACCATGTCCAGTGAGCTGTTTAAGATTGGTTCTCCTTATCTTTATAACCCTTCCTTTAGGTCTCTTGTTGATGGATACTCCTTTCTCTCCTTGCCTCTGACATTTTGGTCTTCCTTAAGGTTATGCCATTGGCTCAGATATTTTCTCATTCTACCTGTTCTTTCTAGGTCACCGTATCCACTTTTATGGTTTAAATTGTCTCCACCTTGGTGTGGCTGTCTTCCAAATCTCAGACCTTTTGCCTGACCTTCAGATCCTTCTATTGAATGATTTGTGAAAAATCAATACCAGGGTGCCACTCAGCCCCCTCCACCTAGCATGGCTAAGCTGAACTCATCATCTCCCCAATAAACCTCCATCCTGCATTCTTCAAGTAGGTTAGTAGCCCCACCATGTATTAGTCACTTAAGTAAGACACTGGAGGTCTGTCCTGAACATTTCCCTTTCTCCCCTTCTCATCAATCTGCTACTAAATGTGGTAGGTTTTACTTCCTGCAGCTCTCAGTTCTGTTCCTGTCTCCTCATCCCCACAGGTCCTCCTCCAGTCCCAGCCTCCAGGACCTCTCTGACCACAGTGTCGGCCTCCTTAGTGCCCTCCCTAGCTACATTCTTACCTTCTCCAACCCATTCTGCACACAGCCAGTGGAAGGCTGCATCTTCATGATCAAGTCTGATAGACGTCACTCTTGATTGACTTCTGTCCACAGCTTCCCAGTTTTTATTTACAGGATGAAGTGAACATGCATTAATAGGGCACACAAGGTTCTTCCTGAACAATTCCTGCTTGCATCTCCAGGTTTATCTCTCGGTCTCCTGCCTGACAACTTATTTCCCAGCAATAAGAAGTTTCTTTTGCCCCTATTCATACCATATTATTTCTCAACACGCACACACACACACACACACACATGCACACAACTTTGCCCATCTATTCTCTAAGCAGGATGCCATTGTTTAAATTCTGTCTCAAGACTCTGCCATTCGAGAGCAGTCTTATTAATATCTGGGCTGCCAGTGGTTAGCCATTAGTAGGACTTCCTGGCCCTTGGTAGGGATTCCTTAATATTTGTTGAATGGATGAGTCGATGAATAGACATATCCTCTAGGGAGTTCATGCCCCTGGATTTGACTGTAGATTAGGCCCCTCTGTGCCTTCAACTCAGAGCTTGAAGAGTGAACTAATAACTGTGCCCACAGATACCTCTGAGATCACCTTGTCACTGTTCCCACATCTCCAATTCTATAGTAATCCTTACTTTGTTTTTATCATTCTTCTGGTGTTGGAATATAGGAAGATTTTT